TTTTTCACCCAGTCCTCCAACCGCCCTCCCTTCTGTCAACTGTCAGTCTGCTCTCTGTATCTAAGTCCATTTCTATTTTGTTTGTTCACTGATTTTATTATTCAGATTCCACATATAAGTTAAATCATATAGTATTTATCTCTATTTCACTTAGCATAATAGCCTCTAGAAAGGACCCTCTCATATTTTTTATACCTTAACTCTTCCTTTTTTTCTTTCCTCTCCTCTCTTCTCTCACTTCCTCAGGAGGTTGTCCAAGCCACAGTCCTGGAATTTCTGGAGCAAATTCCCTTGTCTCCATTATTATTTCTACTTCTGGAAACAAGGTTTGAGACAACAGGGTCTCACACTAAGTAAAGTCTTTGTACTGCCAGTACTTGCTAGATGTTTCTTTTATTTATTATTATTTTCCCTTAGACATCCTTAATAAAAAAGACATCTATTCCCTGTATTAGTTAATCAGGCTTTGCTGAAACTTTCATTGTTTATTATCGTTGAACCACTAATATTTTTAAAGTGTAAGATTCCTTCTGTTGTACTCATTTTTTTCCTCAAAAAGGGACACACACAGTTTCTTGGCCCTTGTATTCAAAGATTTGGTATGGCAAATTAGTTTCTGGTTTAGCAAATATTCATTCCTTCCATCGCTTTGAGCTTGACAATATGACTTGTTTTGTTAGTGGGGTGTTAGTGGATGTGATGTGAGCAGAGGCTTTAACGATGCTAACATCCTGGGCTTGTCCTCTCGTGTTTCAGCCATCATAATGGAAAGAGCATCCTCTGAGTAATACTGGGCCCCATACTGAAATATGTGAAGCAGAGATGCACCAGCCAACCTGGTAGTCTACAGCCTGAAGCAGCTGACAAGGCCAACCAGCAAACACTTATGGGATAAATAAATGCTTATTGTTATATGCCACTGATTTTGTGGTTGCAGGTCATAACCCCAAAATGACAAACTCTGGGTAGTACTGTCTCACTGCATAGTGGATGCCATAATAAAAAGTTTCATATAGGGGATTCCTATTTTGCATGAAGGACTGACTGTGGCACATGTAAGGTCCTACACAACCTTAAAATATCATCATATCATACAAAAATGAGTTTATTTGAAGTATTCACATGTAAGAAACTCGGTGGCCCCTTGGTTAATGGCAGGAACTTTAAAAGCTCTAATATTTTTAACTTATCTTCCTAAAAAAGCAGAAATCTTTTAAAATGTCTGTTGGACCCTTCTTTGACACTTATTTAAAATTTCCTTTTACCACTGATTTCCTTGAGTTATTCAGTTGCTGTTGGCATATGTGCCAAGGAATCATTTCCACAAGGGCCATATTTTTCTAAAATCAAATTTGGTAATTTGCAAAATTAATACATTTACTTGTAATGAAATTATTTTTGAAGAGGATTTTAATATATGTTAAAATCTGTCATTTAGGTAATGTTTTTAAAGAAGGAAATGTTCTTATGCAACATGACTGAAATGCTCTGGGGAGCCCTAAAATCATTTTTTCATTAAATAGAGCTGAAATTATGTGAACAACTAGAACATGTGAAATAAAAGAGGAAAACAAAGCACAGAGCACTGGGGAATGAGAAAATGGACTGTAAAAGGAACAGTGATTTGTTCAAGGTTACCCAGTGGGTCAGGAAAAAAGGGGTGAGTTCGGCTGACGCTAAGACCCAGAGTATATCCACGTGAATGTCTGTGCACTAAATCTGCCATTTTTAGTGGATAATGTAGTCATGTTTCTTCTATATAGGGGATAATATTCATATTAGCCATTCTCTTGAGGTCTAGCAGGTGTTACTTCATAAACATTTATCAAATAAAATGATAAATAAATCCTTAGCAACTGAAACTTGACAAAGCATTATTTTACATACATGATCTCATTATTCTTATAGCCAACCACTTCTGAAGTAGGTATTATATAATTCCTGTCTTGTAGATTAATTTAGATCCAGAAAAATTAAGTGAATTACCCAAGAACACACTGCCATGAGTATTGAGACATTTTCACCATACCTAGCTGTTCAGAAAAATTCTTTAAAGATTCTAACTCAAGATGGCTCAAAGAGGGTTGCATTAAATATAAAACAGTTGAGGGCAGGGGAGAGAAAAGCTCTTTGAGGAACTCAAAGTCTTGTGCAAAGTTGATATTTAGGAGAATGAAAACAGTTTGATTACCTTATTTTATGTGGGTGACCTTACTAGCTCATTAGTTGGGATATCAATTGGGCATGTCTGTACAAAATTCTCAAATCCTACTGGTAAATTATTTGTGCATGAGGGCATCTGGCAGGTAAGCCATGGAAACCTTGGTAGAAGACTTTAAAATAATATAGATCCACCCCAAGAAAGCAGTCCTACTTATAAAAATACATTTCTGTGCTCTGTGTCTGCTTCTTCAAAGCATTGCTCATTTGCTTTGCTGATGCATACAAAAAAGGTTTATTATAGTAAAGATATTGGATTCCTTAATATAGACATGGATCTCTGCCTCAACAGTTCTAAAGCCTCTGTAATGAGTAGTGTTCTACCAAAAACTACATGTAGCAAAGGAGTAAGTAAGCAAGGAAAATTTGTTCCTGAGTGGACAGTCAGAAAACATGGGAGGGAAGGAAGAAAGGAGCATGACCAGTATTAAGAGCCCAAACTCTATAGCCAGGCTACCTAGGTTTATTCTTGGCTCTGCCTCTTACTCTGAAACCTTGATAAAGTTAGTTAACTCCCTTATGGCTCAGTTTCCTCATCTATAAAATGGAGAAATTAATAGTACGTATCTCATAGGGTTATTATGAGGATTAAATGAGCTAATATCTGTTAGTGCTTAGAACAATGCCAGGTATACAGGAATCCCAATATAAATGTTTAGTAAGTATAGGAGACCATTCTGTGTGGCATGGGCCCAACTCCCACTCGGAGATTCACAGGACCCACACCCACGGATAGGTTCTCCCATGGGGAATCAAGCCTGCCTTGTACCTAGACTGCTACAAGACTTGCTTTTGCTAAAACTCCTTCACCTTGAATTAAGACAGCAAGCACTTACTGTAACTTCCTAAAGTGTGTGCTAAAACTCCCCAGTATACAGTGTAACCAGTTCAACCACTTTTTCCTTTGCATTTGCAAATATTCTTCTGTGATGTGATTGGCTCCTTTGTTTTCTAAAAAAGGTAACCACCTAAAGCAAACCTGTGCATACTAAATGAGGACCATCATGTAATGTGCCCAGAAAAGAAATAAAGGCCTGTCACAACAGGGGCCGAGGCTTTTCTCCTCTTGAGAGAAAAAACCACACTGTCCCTTTTCCTCCACAGGACTCGGTAGTCTATGTGAATTTCTCACGCCTCATTCACAATGTGGTGGACCCCACAAGCCGGGGTCCACATCAAGTAAGTGAAAGAAAGAAGAAAGAGTGAGAACTAGAATACTGGACGCTGTGTTCTTAATGCATCATTTTGCTTCCTACTAACAGAGTCCTTTATTTTCCACAGCTGGGGCCACTTGATTCTTGCTGGGAAGCTTAACCCCATTTCCGGTCTGACCCCAAACAGCTCTTATTCAGAGAAATTCAAGAAGCCCTAGTTCAGTAGTTCAGGTGACTCAGCATTACATCAATTTTGCTGTTATTCTTGTCCTGACCCTGTGTCCCAGTTTTAGTCACTTGCTCCTGTGATCAAGTCCCCACCTTGCACTGCAGCTCTAGCACTCTGCTCCCCTACAGCTGAGTTGCAGCTTGCAGGACCCGCTCAGGTCCTCTGGGTGCTCTGAGGCAGGCATCTCCCAAAGGGCAGCCTCTGCACCAGAAACTACACTTTGTTTGGTGCACAGTGTTTGAACCTTTGAAAATTAGTTGTTTGTATTTAAATTTTCAGACTTTTACATCAAAGTGCAAAATTCCAAGCTCTGATGAACCATTGGATGGTCTGAAAGCACACGGTCCCCATTTCTCCTTGGTACTAACCCACTGGAGCTGAGTAGCAACTGCCCCATTTGGAAGGCTTTGTTCCCCATTGCTTCACTTGTTTCTGGGTCTGCATCTGGATCTGTCTGCTTGGCCCTTGCAGACATTTGAGGTTGAAACATTTGAGGCTGCTCTAAGACTGAAAGTAGCTGATATTTACCAAGCCCTTATTTTGTGCAAGGTATTCTTCTAAGTGGTTTATATCCTGTACTCATTTAACCAACATTCAGAAATCTGTTTTTATATCTATTATTCCTGCAATCCTTTTCCTTGCTTTAAACCCTCTGTATGCATGTATGTGTACCTGTACCATTTTCCCAAATCACTACTCTCTACTCACCAGCTAAGGGCCACTTACAGAGGTTTGCTGAGTTTTCATAATGTCAACCACTCACCCATACTATGGCCTGTTGCCTGTCCAACGTTCCTTGTTTAACCAGACTGTGCTGTCAAGAACTTTGGCCATCATAGTGATTTCATTTCAGGTATAGAATCTCAGGCTTTACTGGTCTGACAGATCCTATCATATCATGTTTCATGCTTTTACAGGACCATACATTTTATTGCACATGCCTTCACACTCACAAAACTATTGCTCCAGTTCTTGTTAGAAGTCCAGAAAAATCCACTAAATATTCATTGACACTTACTTATGTTTTAAGACCTATAACAGAAATTGATTTGAGTATTCATTTACTAAGGGATCCAAAGAAATCTGTTCATCTCTTCCATGTGCAATTCAATCTCTTTTCAGTGGACCACCTAGGAAACTAACATTATTTGAACACAATCAGCTATGTTTTTTCCCTCATGATAAGCTCTTGTGCTTTACAAAACAATGAATAAAAGAGAAAAATGTTTACATGACTAAGCTGAGATTTAGCAAATATAAAAAAAAAACCCTCACAAAATTCATTCTACACACCATTACATAAAATTATCTGGATTGAGTAAAACTAAATATATATTCAATTTAGCTGATTACATTGTATGTAATTTTTAAAGAAAGTCAATACAAATGTTACTTACATAAGGAATCGTGTCCAAAGTATCTGTGTTGACAATTATAGGAGCAGGACTGGCCTGAAAAACAGAAGTAGAAAACTTTTTAAGTTACAAGTACTGCATTCTGAGAGTTCGTGAACTTACTCACGAAGAAGAGCTTGGCAGTGTTCCCTGAAGACCCGTATGGGCAGTGTGTCAGGTGGGAGAAAAAATGAAATAGCTCCAAGTTCTGACATCCTCCAAATATTCGTTTGCTATATTTACCACATAATGAAATGAGTAAGCAATAGAATGTATAATCGTTTTTTCTTAAATTTTATCTGACAGAGCAGGAGATGAGGATTTGTTATGCTTACAAGGCAAGATTTCTAATAAATTGCGTGAGAAGTAAAGTTGGTAACATCTCCTTTTTAAAAGGGCTGTGCTAAATCCATTTGGTTTCCCACTCTAAGAAGCAAAATTAAATCTAAATCAACATTTACAACCCTTCCCTTTACACTGTCTTTTGAGAGTATGTTGTATTTAATGTGAAGTATAGAAGAGTTCACTTCGAGACATGTATGTTTAGCTGTCATATAGATGCTGACATACATGCTGTTGTCATATCTTTTCTTTGTCATTTACACACCTCTGATAGCACACCTTAGAAATCTTTAGATGGAAAATGAAAACTTAGTCAAAGATGGCAGAAAATCATATTGGATATGCTAAACTTTCTCTTTTTAAAAAATTGTATCAACTTCAGTCATTTGCCTTAAAGTTGAGAAGGAATCTGTGTGAAACTGATATAGGAGAGCTACACGCCAAGTCATTAAAAAATAAGAGATTGCAATCTGTATTTGCATCAACCAATCTGACTTCATGAATATTGAATAGACCTATCTTTATTTTTGAGTTTCTAGAATTTCCACAGCGACTTTCCCTTCATCCCCTGAAGGATCTTTAATCTCCTTCCCAAACTGCAGATTTCATTTAGATAGAGGAAATACCTCAGCATGAATAATCGAGAGCTGTCCTATACGACATAGTGTTTTTGGCAAGTACTAAACTTCTAGGACATTTTATTAGATGTGCCCTCTGGAGTGAACAGAGTTGTCAGCTTTTTCATGTCAATCTGTGCCTATGACATCCCAATAGCATGAGAAAATGAATGGCAATCCAGCAGATTTTACAAAACAAAATTCCACGTTTTAACAAAAGACCCTGGGTATTGAGAACATAACCCTGGTTTGCATGTCTACATAGTGAGTTAGCTAGATGTTCCTGGTTTATTCATTAACTCTTTTTTAGAAGATTTTATTTATTTATCTTTAGAGGGAAGGGAAGGAGAGAGGGAGAGAAATATCAATGTATGGTTGCCTCTTGTGTATCCCCTGCTGGGAACTGTCCTACAACCCAGGTATGTGCCCTGACTGGGAACTGAACTGCAATCCTTTGGTTTGCAGGCCCACACTCAATCCACTGAGCTACACCAGCCAGGGGTATTCATTAACTCTTCAGAGCAAATACCTTGTGGGTAAAGGGGGCTTTGAAGAAAGATAGTTTTCATAGGACATCAAAAAAAATACCAGTGTTTGTCAAGAGGCATGTGGCATGGGGAGAAAAACATGAGGTTTAGAATTAGAAGACCTGAGTTCAAGTTTGTTTTATCAAGTTTCTAATTATGTGACTTGAGGGCTCAGCAACTTCCTAGTATAAGTGATCTGGGGGCAAGTGAGGCCTTCACCTTGTTCTTCTTCTCTGTAAAATGGGATTAGAAATAATTACCTTCTCAAAAGTTTGTTTCAAGAATAAATGAGGTGGTATATTTGAATGTTTGTAGACTAAAATTTCAGAATCTATGTTAAATATTATAAGTAGTAAGTGTTTCTAAAGACGGACTACTGTGAGGATACATCATCGGATGGTTTGTGAACTGTTTATACTCCAGAGGTTTCAACGCTGTTTATGGCTATAACTGCACTAACAAAGAACTGATTACATTATGTGAATTACCATTTATTAAATGCATACTACTTGCCCATGTATAAGGCTATGCACATATGTTCTTAGACTCCACAAAAACATATTGTTGAGGCATTATCATCACTATGTCTATGCTATAAATGAGAAAAATGAGACTCGGGGAAAATGAGACCTGAGATTTAACAGCAGCCTTTCTAACTTCAAAATCCATTCTTTCCTTTCTAAACTTCTCTATGACCCAGGATCTATTGGGAAGAAGAGTCACACTGGAAGAAGAGTCATCTTGGACCACACATTAAATACACAGACACTAATGAAAACAAAAACATCTCATAATGTGTTAAGTAAATTTCTGATTCTGTGTTGGGCCGCATTCATAGACATCCTAGGCCACATGGGCGTGGAGGCTGTGGCCTGAGGGTTGGACACCCCTGAACGTGGCTTCATCACAAAAGTCTCACAGTGACTGAAGATCTCCAGCTAGAGTACCATCAAGACCTCAGCAAAGCAAAGGCCACCCTGAAGGCAAGAGATGCCTCAAGGTCTTGCACATTAGATGTTGAAAGCAATCTGGAGATGCCTTAGTGGCTTTTGTTGTTGTTATTGTTTATTTTTACTTTTGATGCCGTCTCTCCTATGCTTTCTAATTTGTTCCCAGGACACCAGAATGTGATGGTGCCTTTCACTAAGTTTCTGAGTAACACACCCATTCATTGTATTTCACCTTATTATCTAGTATAGTATGATCAATAAATATGTATTGATTTGATTAGGGGCTTTCAACCTATGTTATTTTTTTCCTTGTAGATTGTATTAATACAGTCTGGGAACACACTTTATACACAAATCCATTTCCCATACAGTGCCACTCATCAGTTTTGCATGTTTATGCTGCTATTTTCCATCTCATGCATGTAAATTTGGTCTTTCCACTCAGACTCGTAAGTTTAGAAAATAACAAGGATTGTATATTTCCCTAGAATTCTTCACAGCACCTGGCTACACATAAGGACCTCCGTAAATACTCGGGAATTATTGACTAAATGTATCTATAAAGTATAAATGAGGGTAGAAAGAAATAAAAAGCTGTGTAAGCTTTGGAGAACATTTCTAAGAAAACTCAAAAATCTCTAGTTACCAATAACACTATGACTGTGACTAGTTTTCCAATGTCCACTATCTTATTTCTTTAATTAGTCATTATTACATAACTATTCAGCTTTTATAAAATAATAATTATTTAATAATTCTAGGATATGTACAATGTGAATGTTGAAATAGAATCTACATTCCAGAAGCCACAATTATACCTACATCTATAAAAATCACTAAAAATGCATGAACATACAGGATGTGTAAATTATGTGAACACACACACATCACATACATGTGACATTCGCAGCTCCCTGGTGCAAGTGGCAAAGAGATGCCATGGTGGGTTACTCTGAATAACACACTATGCCACTGCGCTACTAAACCAGGCTCTCTGGAGGCCCCCCATTGCTCTGCTCCAGGACCCTCACAGTCCACCCAGATTATTTTTACAGAAGCTTCCTGGAATCTTTTAGATAGTCAAAGGCACGTATCATCAGGGAATAAAAATCAAGTGGCAATAACACAGAGCACAGTAGAATTCTAAGTACAGCCCAGGAGTGTGTTCTTCTCACCAGCTGGCAATTTCAGATCTTCCCTTGGTTCACCCTGACTGCTGTTTCTTGTCTCACTTTTGAAATCATGTGAGTCCATGCCTAGTTTGATTCATTTAGTTTCTGAGTCTTAAAACCAATTATTCAGTTACTCTGATGGCTCCTTCTAAGCTTTATCTCCACACTTCACATTGCCCTACCATCCCCACATTATCTTTCTCCATATTAGATATCCTCTTTAATTGAATCCCTAAATCAAACTGCTAACTTGGCAGATTCCAGTAACCCCCTTCAATGTGCTTATTTCCTTTAATTGAAAAAAGATTTGTAACAAATATAAAAATATATCCTTTTTAATCAGAAGTTTCAAGGCTTGATTTTATGCAAATCTAGGCAAACTAAGACTTAAGACTTAAGAAAATTAATCTATCTTGGGTACCACAAACTGTAAGATGTAAATGGCTTGTCTTTTACTTTACATTCTCTTCCATCTGGAGAAAGCAACTTTACAAAAAGAGGGAAGAATAATTATAGAGAAGCAAGAAGCAAGGAGCAAGCAGAGACTAATAATAAAATCTGAATTATCAGATCAAGTTATTTATGAATTCTACCACCTTCTTGTCCTTGGGTTACATGGAATACCCAAATATTTGTATATTGTATCAATAACCTTGTTTATACTGGGAAAAATTAAACTTCTGTTGTTAGATAAAATGAAAGCAAATGTTTGAAGGAATTCATTGATTCTGATTAACGTGATTACTTCTTGATTTTTTTTAAGTGCCAAATCTGAGAAATGCCTCTGAGTAAATGGGTAAGTAGTCACTAGGTCAGTTTCCAGGAGGAAGCCTCTGCCAGCAAGGTATTGATAGGGGAGTTGACATCAGCCTAACTCCAGGCTGATGCCTAAACTTTTAAGAAGCAAAATAGAAAAGGAGAGAAGCCTACATGGTCAAGTGACTTAGATATAGGAGGACTGACCAGTAAAAAAATACTGATGGGGCAGGACTTTCAGCTGACCTAAAGCATGCAAGTAGAAGGTAGGTGGTTGTCAACAGGCCAAGCTAAACAGGAGGTAAAATATGGTAAGAATAATAAGAGTTGCTTTGGGGGCTGAGCATCTTCAGCTTATCTTCTCAGCCTTAAAGGACAGGCCCTATGACTTTTATCGGCAGTATGGCATGACAATTTGAAATGAAATGGAAGCCACTGGAAGTTTTAAAATGAGTCCATTTTGTGTACATACATGATTTCACTAAGAATGAGCTTGAGAACCCAGAAGTTCATGGTAAATTTTAGCTGCTTAGATTGACTGCTACACAATGCCATATTAGCAGTCAAACCCTTCCTTGATCCTAACCAGGAAACTAGAATTTGGGGTTACTACCCGCATCTTCAATTAGGTATGAAATGAGATATTTAACATTAAGTACTAAATGAAATGCTAAGGATTAAAGTCAGAATAAC